CATTTTCTCAAATTATTTTGGAGTTAAGTGTGAAATCAAACATGTGCTTTCTAGGCAGATTTACAATTTTAAAAGTGACCAAATGCTTCTTAATAGTTCAGAGAGGAAAATGACAGAGCATGCTACTCTGATATTTTGTTACTTTTAAAACAGCAGAGGTGAAATGTGTGCTTCAAATAAAAAATTGATTAGTTTAAAAGTAATGAAAAATAGAGAACATTAAATGGATAGGGGACAAATTAAAATAAAAAGCAACACAAGAGCTTATTTAAGGTGTTGGTTCATGTGCTGCTTGAACCAGTCTATTAGGTAAGTGTTGCTATTAAGTATTTTAGGAAATGACTACACTGCTCCAGTGTTTAAGAAAAAAAACCTTCAAAAACACATTAAATAAAAATGCTTATTACTCATGCCATATTACCAGGAGGCAATAGTGTTGATATTACAGACATAAATAAAGAGGGAAATTTTGAGCATTGCAAAGAAAATGTCCAAAACAGTTAAGTTTGTTATGTTTTGGACGTCATTTACTGTTTCCCTCTCCCCCAAACCAGTAACTCCATTGTGTCTTGGTGGATTTAGAAAAAGCATATGTCATGTACCAAGGGAGGAGCTGTGGTGTTGCACGAGTGGTGAGATGTACTGTTGGAGTGACAGACAGCTTCAAGGTGGAGGTGGGAGTGCATCAAGGATTGGTTCTGAGTCCCTTCTTGTTTGTTCTGTTGATGGACTGACTAACAGATGAGGTCAGGCAGGAATATCCCTGTGGACTATGATGTTTGCAGATGACATTGAGATCTGTGGTGAGAACAGGGAACAGGTGAAAGAGAGTCCAGGCTGGATGGAGTGAATGGAGAAAAGTTTCAGGAGTGATTTTCAACAAAAGTATGTCCGCAAAGATCAAAGGAAAAGTTTACAAGACAGTGGTGAGACCAGCTATGTTGTATGGTCTGAAGACAGAGACATGGACAAAAATACAGGAGAAAAATCTGGAAGTAGCAGAAATGACAATGTTGAGGTTATTAGGAGTGACAAGGATGGATAAGATTAGGAATGAGATCATCAGAGGTACAACACAGGTTGAACAACTGGGAGTTAAAGTTAGAGAGACCAGACTGAGATGGTTTGGACATGTCCAGAGGAGGGACAGTGGGTATGTTGGTAGAAGGATGTTAGAAATGCAGCTGCCAGGAAAAAGACAAAGAGGAGATATATGGATGCAGTTAGAGAGGACATGGAGGTAGTTGGAGTGAGGACAGAGGATGCAGAGGACAGAGTGAGATAAAGGAGGAGGAATCGCTGTGGAGAAATAACAGCTAAAATAAAATGAAGACTAACTCTTTTAGCACACGTTTGAAGTATAATGGTGACCAGATTCAGGTACAAAATAAAAAAAAAGAAGAAAGGAGTCCATTGTTATTTGGGTTTCTAGTGCAGAAAGCACTATTGATCATGCAAGAGGTAGGGTTGCATGCAATCATTTCAGTTCATCTCAAAATATGTGTCAAGTCTGCACTAAGAACAATAACAAAAAATAAAACTTCACCATGTTAGGAAAAATCAAACAAACAAACAAACAAACAAAAACATTTGCATGGGAATGAGAGGTGCAAAAACGACATCCATTTTGGAAAATATCTTTGTTAGTGAGGACAGAGTCTTAGGCTAAATAAGATTAAGTTTAATAAGGTGCTAAATAAGTGTATCATATGTGCTGGTACAAAATGCTCCTTAGTTGTTTATTTATGTATTTATATATATATTTCATTAGATCAGGTCTTATTTAGGGAAAACTAAGACCACGTTCACACTTCAGATCCTAATGCTTAGTGTGAATGTGATCTAAGTGATGACTATTATCAATGCTCTTGTGACAATTAAGTTTTCATCCTAAACAAGACCAACCTTATCTGATTTTACCAACTTCAATAATTAAAACCTAAAATTCACCAATTCCAACAACTATCTGCAGATTTTCAATGTTGTTTCACTCTGAAGGAGAGAAGACAGCTGAGTTATAGCCAATCTTTTTTTTCTCTCTTTTACTTGTCACATAATATACCAGTCAGTCAGTCATATACCAGTCAGGCTTCCACTAAAGCAAAAACACATTGGTGGCCTTGAGGGAAATTCCTTCTCATCGCTCTCATAGGAAACTGTAAAATCTAAACGTTGGGCAGAAATTTTGATTATCACTTGGTTTGAACTAGCAAGAATATATTTTTCTACTTTCAGATTCCATCCCATGAAAGACTTGTTTCACAATAATGTGAATAATGAAACTACTGCAGATGACATCAGCATAAAAGACACTTATATTAAATCCACTTTGGGTTTCTCACATGACTCTTTTGAAGAGGAGCATTTCCTCTCATATACCCTTATTATTAAATTAAATGACATCATGTGTGTACATCTATCAGTATGTACAATATAAAAAAAAACAATTACAGAATGTACAGTACATAGTCCTGTGGCATGGGATTACGTTCTCACCATTCACCCTGCTTTAGTGCTCTCTTTGCATCATCCGTTGTTCCTCTTTGCATTTCCTGCTGTTGACCCTCTGAGCTACTTGTGAACAGAGATTTAACCACCGGTGTGCTGAAGATATGGACCAGAAACCATCAAAAAGAAGAAGGGAATGCAAAGGCACACTAGATAGGCTACTTGCCAGATTTTCAGCTACTTTCAACTAAAATGCATTGGGTCTGTCTGAGGATACAACAACTACAACGTTGCTCTCAATGTTCGTTAACCGCACAAGTGATTTGGTGAGACAACAATCAAGTGCCACACCGCTGTTATGGATCTAAGGAGGGTATTGATAGTGGTACCATACAAACCCTATTTGACTGCGTTATCAAGAATCACACTCCTTGTTCTATTCATTCAGACATCATATTGTCAAATTGGATGGTGTTTTCAATTTTTTGCGCCTTACTTTGATGTAGTATCATGCAGGAGGCTGAACATATCGAAGTCCACCATCTAACATCACACATTCATGTTGACAGAATTTGGCTTCAGTTCAGAAATGTAGAGGGTAAAGAAAAACGTTAAACCAAAACCAATAATAACCCATTCTAAGGCTTGGTAGCACTTCTCAACATTGATGATTAGACACTTGACTGTAACTCTTTACAACCTGCTCAAAGAGCGAACAGAGACAAAAGTAAGGAAAGTCCAGCTGGTCTAATAGTTTCTTATCCCTATATTTAAAGTATCACTATAAGTCTAATAACTACTAGTAAACTATTCAGGGAGAATATTTGGTACCAGAATAGGACTAGTTAGATAGGATGTGGGGAAGGGAGTGACAAGTCCATTGATTTGACTTCACCTCTCAATGGTACATCCTTGTAGATGAAGTTTCCCCTGCCGACTGGTGAAGCAGATGAGTCATTTTCAAGCCAACTCAGTCAGTCTCAGGACAACTGTGGTTTCTCCTGGGTTCCTTACAAGAGCACAACAGACCAAGAGCACTGAAGCAGATGCTGTGCATGCCGCACATCGTGCCTGTCCACATGGGTGAGCACAGTCGCCCAAGCCTATGGGAGGCAATGCGGTTTGTGGTTTTCAGGCAAATTCTAGAAGCAGCCAAACAGAGGTGAAGCGTGACAAAAATCAGAACATCAGCTCAAACCTCTATCTTTTAGCAAGAAAATAATCTAAAGTGATAAACATGCTTGCGTTTTTCTTGGCTACAGCTTCTGTCCTTCATGTATCCATCTGAAACCTATGGTAACCACAAGTTGGACCTTAACAAGCTTGAACTGCCTTTTTCATCTAGCTTGGTTTAGCATCCCAACTGGTTTTCTTTTATCACTCATTCCCTTGACTGAATTACTAATCCTTTGATTTGATAAATAAATGAAAGTTATACTGGGGGCATCTTCCACCTCAGTGAACATGATACTACTCTATGCCTTCTAAACCTAAAATGGAACTCATAAGCAAAGTTTTGTCTTCAGCCACAAGACACAGACATTTTCCCACATCAGGTCTCAGCTTCTACCTTTGTTTCCATTTTATGTTATTCAGAAGGGGGCAAGCACATCCTATTTTCCCTTTATAATTATGCATTCATTAAATTACTTTTGAACTTATAGTAGTGATTCTTTTAATTACATCCTTTATGTAGTTGCATTTCTTTGTTTATGGAAGAGTCTCAGTCTTTGAGAGAGGGGGCTAAGGAGCTTGGGGCAGGGAAGGAGTCTTACATGGCTGCAGGATAGGGTTTGCTTTCAGTCCTACACAGTCTGAAAGGCCTTGGTCTGAGCAGGGACCATAAGAGTTGGGGGTGTTGGGCCAGACATGTTCCTGGAGTTGAATTTGGGAGTGGTGGGGGGCTCAGGGGTCTTAGGGGCTGCCACAGAGGTGTAGGCTGGAGGGGACTGGGGAAAACCCGGAGGCTGTCCATTTTCCTTGAGAGCTGCTATGGCAGGTGGACGTGGGCGGTGGCCACGCAGAGTGCAGTTATGCACCATTGATTGGGTGGAGGAAGCTCCAGAGCGCGAGCTGCCAGAGCGGGACGAAGACAGGGAGTTGGGCTTCACAAGTTTGGCCTTGGGAGCTTCAGCATCTTCCCTGTAGATGGAAACAGAGTAAATACATACAACAACACTGGTTTTATGTATCAACTAACATTTGAAATATAAATGAGGACACCTTCTCCTACTTTTCTTGACAAACTAACTCAAAACAAAATGCAAACAAGTGCAGTACAGTGCCCCCATACGCATCAATAAGGTAGTCTC